AAGATGAAACCCTAAACCCCAAAGATTAAACCCTAAACCCTACTACAGTACAGGCTTCCTCCGAGGCCCAAGAGCTATAAACCTTGAACCCTTCTGCAGCTGAAGCCCTCAACCCCTAAACCCGACAGCCTAGGCACAGGCAGGCCTGACGTTCGGCGGTCAAGCTGCACCTGCACTGCTTGTGAAAAGCTTCAGAAAAGAGATCTTTACAAGGATTTTTGCTTTGCGGTACATAGGTTTGCAAAGTTTTGGAAAGGGCGATACAAATCTAAGGGTGTTACTCGAACAAGGGGTACCTTGTTTCGGGGTCCTTATGCCCAGATCCTATCCGTTAGAGTTGCACACTAAGCTCCCGTTGCAGAGTTTTGAGGGTTTCAGCACTCACACTGGGACATGCTCAGGCGAGGGGTACCTGTTCGAGTCTCACACCCGTGCTGGGGTTTAGGGCTTATGCTTTCGGCAGGGTTGCAAAGAGGTTTAAAAATCAACCCACATCGTGCGAATCAACAGATACAGTCAGATACAATACCTAGAGGATCAGGGGGCTTCGTAAGTAGCCTATAACTTACAAGTAGATGCATACGTGCATTAACCGCGGTTCTTATATGTATAGTATCTTAAAAAATGCTAGCAAAAGGCATAGTAAGTCCCTCATCCTCAACTGAGGGGCTGAGCACCCTAGGCCAAACAAAAGATCTTTTAAAACTTCATAGTAGGATATCAGCCCCGACAGGTTAAAGGTTACCTACTGAGCCCACAAGTCAAGTAAGCCTAAACCCTAAACCCTAAACCCTAAAACCCTAAACCCTCAACCCCGAAGTCCTAGACCCTAAACCCCACAGAACTCTGGAAGATCCTGTGAAAAACCTGAGGCACCGCATCGAAGGCTTCTGCCCGCAAGAGACTCAAAGGGCTTCACGGGACTTAGCAAGGGTTTAGGCCTTAGGGAGTACAAGTTAGGGTTTAGGGTTTATAGGGTTTAGGGAGTATAGGAGTTAGGGTTTAGGGTTTAGGAAGTAGGAGTTAGGGTTTAGGGTTTAGGGAGTAGGCTGTCAGTAGAGTTATAAGTAGCCCCTAAATGAATTTATCCTTCTTATATCCCCCAGTTATAACCCAGATTCTAAGTCCCGTGATCCTTTAAGTAGGAGTCGGCCTTTGTTGTAGCATTAGGGTTACCATCCGGGTCACGATAAGCTTCACGGGTTGCGATTGGAAGAAGAATAGGGCGAATAGGGCCTACGGTTGCTTCAAGGGCTACAGTAAGGCTTACAAAAGGGAGTCAGCGTCACGGAAACGGTTACCACATGGGCAAATATAAGAGTACTATGTGGCTTACCAGAAAAGGATACTATCCGGTTGCTGCAGGGGCTACTGCACGAGGTAGACCTCCGATGAAAGGTTCAGGGTTTAAGCGTGCATGGTTGAGGTACTGTCAAGGCAAACGAAGGTAGTTTAGATCCTTTCAAGGGAAGCCGAACTTAGAACAACCTTTCCAGGAAAACATATGCTAATGCTTCCCCGGCACCCCATTGGCGGCGATTGCAGCCTTTGGCGCTGGACTCACACCTGGTAGGATGGTAGACAGGGTGTGTCTAGTGCTCTGAGCCCGGGACAGGAGTACACCAGGAAGGAAGCAGAAACCATATCAGACGTAGCACTCAGATACTCAGTTGTTTCTTCTACACTTCATTAGCCCCCAGGGCAGATGAGTGCCTGTGAGCACACGTCATCGCTTGGAAGATCTTCGCAAACCCTACCCGCATCCATCCTTGGTGCACGGCATTGGTGGGAGACTGGTCTTGTAGCACAAGTCTTCCATTATAGTACATTATAGCACCTTATATAGAACCCTTCACAAGAACCCTATTTTCTGCAAGCCAACAAATCATTGCAAAGTACAAGAAACACCTTTGCCCGGGCAATGAAGCTTCAGCAAAACAAATCATGGCCTCCCGTTACTCCGGCGATGGTGCCACCGGTTGAGCCCGAGACAGCCTGGGTTGTCGCAAGTCAGGAACCCTAAACCCTAAATCCTAAATCCTAGTCTAGAAGGGCCCCTCAAGGGGTGATATGAAGGCTTTTAAGGATCCCCTCCCCAATGACTCCCCGCAACGCCCTTTCACGACCAAAGTTCGGACCGGAGAATCGGTTTGGCGGTGGGTGGTCCCCTGTTTTGCTCAACCCCTTTACAATAAGAAGACGGTTTTCTGGGGAATATCATAAGGAATAAACTTATTACATACTCCGGCCTCTATAGTGTCTCGGACATGAAGCAAAGACGAAGCCCTCTCTCAAACCGAAATCCTCACGGCAAGCCCTCTCCAATATCTTAGAAATGCTCTTGCAATGTTGGCCCTACACCCAAACCTCAGCCCTAAACCCTAAACCTGGAATCCTGTGGAACGTTGAGCAAACCCAAAACCCAAACTATCTCCCAATTAGGTCAGACAGGGCGGCAGATGAGGAAGCAATTCGTTCCAGCCTCAAGCTGGTCGCATCGAGGAGCGGAGGCTTACTTCGAGGATCAGTCGTTTTCATCGGGGCTTCATCGTGGTTTAGAAAGGCTCTGTGAGGTTTCTATGGGGCTTCGTAGGGGTATTGACCGGTTCGATCAGGGTTCAGGATTACTGTCAGGATCTCGGCCCAGCACGTAGGTTACAAGTAGGCAAGTAGTCGAAATGGCCGAATTGTGGCCATCCCGTTCTAACCCCTGACGAATACTTCTACGCCCCCCGATTCTTTTTTAGGTTTGTTGTAACATCCCGGATTGCTGACGGTTGCTGGGATTATGTAGGGCTTGGTGATCGGTGCTAGGGGTATCTTTGGGATTTACGTTTGGGGTCCTCTTGATCTCACGTTCAGGAGTTTACGGATTCAGCACCTTGAATCGCCCAAAAAATGTCCTAATTACGGCCCACCGACCGGGCCTCTTGTTAGGGTATCTGGGGGGGGGGGGGTCCTGGTTGTGGATTGGGGTTTAGGGCTTGTGAGACTGGTAATTAAGTGAAGTCCTAAACGCTTTTTCAGCAAGGATACTCTTCCTCAAAGCCCTGTGTCAGGAAACTTTCCACATCAAACGTGCATCACAAGCCCTCTGAAGGTTTCTTGAACTCGGGATCCGCTTTGTTGGGGCCCTTATGATGAAGATCCTACATGATCCTACATATACTGCATATCGGGTCCAATTAACTCTCTGAAACCGCCCATCAGGTTTTTGTATGAAAGTCACTGTAGTCCCTGTACAAAAGACTTGGTGGCTCGGCCCGTCCGTCTCTCGCGCGATGCCCGCAGCACCTGTTTCGAACGTAACAGAGGGCATAAAGAATATGAATGTCTTTACGGGTGCCTAAGAGGAGTAGTTTAGGAGGTTGAATTTGCTGCACTAGCAGAGGGGCCTTAATAGCTGGAATGGAGCTCTCGGTGTCACTTATAATATGGGTAGTTCTCTAAATT